AATATTTAATTTTTATTAAACTGCACTTAGAAAAATATGCAGTTTGTCTGCATTGAAAATGGGCTTATTAACGTAGGACAAAAACCAACTGTTTTTAAGATAACTACTTCGAATGCATAATTACACATAAATACAGTATCTTGCATTGTCTCTGTTAACATATTTATAGTTTCAAAATTACTCCTTACATTTTCATTTTAAAGTAGTGTATTCAATGAGGCACGACTAATGGGATTTACTTGCAGGGTTGACCCAGCCATTGTCTCTTTTAATCCGTATAATTAGGGGATTAGTTCCTTGCATGGGTAGGACCGAGGCGCGCAAGGTACCTCTGCGCTCCTTGGTCCTACCCCTACGGATTTTATTTATGACCTCCCATTAGAGCAAGTATTGTGCGCTCCTCGGTCCGCGAATCCGGCGGACATATCACCTTCCGTGCCACCTCGGCCGTGTCTGCAATGCCGGGACAGTACAGACAGTCCGGGCTGGTTGGTTGCCATCCCCATTCTGTGCTGAAAACGCCCGGAAGTACCCGTGACCCGATAAAAGCTGGGTTACAAAATACCCGACCTCACCATCCTCCCGTTGCAGTTATGGTCGGATGCTAGGAATGAGCTTGACGGTCCACTGCGGTTGCGTTCTTCTCTGGCAGCAGCCTCTCTTTCTACTTCAGGTTTCCTGTGGTAGATCATCTGTCGCTCCCTCGTGAGATGGAAGACAGGGATGACACTGGCAGTCACATGTGTCATCCCCGACTTCCATATCTTCTATTCGTTCAAACTATTAAGAGGGTTCCACCCGCCGGCTGTTTACGCGTAAACATGGTCCTACAAAAAAGAACCTCCTGGCGTTATTAGTGTTATAAGTGTCTATCGAGTTGAAATAAACTGTAAAATAATCACAAAGATCCAAAGTATTCACTGGCTAAACTGAAACTTCGTAAATCATTTTGAAAACACGCAAATGAGTTTTTTTTCACAAGCGATTTAATCTTCTAAATAATAGCATTGACTATGTTGTATCAATAGTCAAAGATAATCGTTAAAAGTTACTTTTGCTCAACCCACTGCAAGCTCTGGTATGTTAAGAGCACAACAAGCACACAATCATTAGAAACAAATTAGTTTTAGAATGCTGAGAGCGTGTACCGTATAGGCATTTTCAGGAACATTAGCATGTTTAGCCGCCATCTTGAATTGACCAAGTAGAACCATGTAGAACCTCCTTAATGGTGATAATGCACTTGATCTATTACCCTTAAACCTTAAACCAAACACAACACTAAAAATTGTATCCTTTGACGACAATCGGTGTAAAGCAGGTTGTAATGAGATTCAAGCGGTGCTCCATTTCAACTCATGATTGTTTCTCCATAAGATTTAGAATTTACATCTAGTGACATCTATGTTATTGTGTGGCCACTTTGAGAAACAGATACGGAATCGTTCAACTACACTAGAGCTATGGTAGCTTGGATCGTCTAAGATTGTTTTGCTTGTTACAATCAACGAGAGATATGCAGATGAGATGGGGGTGGAGGTGGAGGGTGGATGAAGGAACAGGATGATGTGACGAAGACGCACGGCCTCTCTCGCATAAAGCTGCCAACGTAAGGATGAGTAACAGCTCCGGTACACGCTACAACCCCTGTCTCAGGCTCACAGTAATGCACCCTTTGTAATAACTTGCGACTGTACACTCTCCACTCTCTACTCTCAGATTGGCTTTCTCATACTACGTCTAAAAATGATCATTGATTAGTAATGTGTGTCCCGATTTGTGTTAATGCGTAATTATAATAATTAGCGACTACCGTCCAAAACATGCTTGCCCTTACAATCATATATTGACTAAGTATGTCAATTGAACTAAGGTCTTTCATTAAACTAAGAGCAAACGCGGTTCCTTTAATATAGCGCATTCATAAGAAAATTTATAAAAGAATAACAAGGAGAACAAGTCAAAATTACCGAAATTGCTTATAAGATTAAATAAAATATCACATGCTATGCGACTATATTTGTATTTATGGACGTATTTCATTATATCATTTATTCTTCTCTTTTATATATTCTACATCATGTGAGTATATCTTTAATGAGTAATATTACAACATTGTCATGATCACATTTCAGATCATTTGCCTACCTAATTTCTATAGTCCAAGAATGTGTAGTAAAAATGGAATTCACTGGCTGAATATAACTGTAATGAAAACTGATAAGAATAGCAAATTATTCAATGAGATAATTTTAAAGGGGGAAAGTGAGTCTTCAAGATTTTTTATCTCGCTTTTAATATTGCCTATAAATCAATTTAGAATAGCTCTATGAAAATCAAATGATACTACTCAACCTATGACATATTAGTGTGTAATATAGTTTTGAAACAATTGAACTAATATCCGAATATAAAGGCCATAAAGTGCTCGCTTCTCATGGCTAGTTTCTGTTATTATATATTTGATAACACCATTGAGTGACGTATATCTGTGAATTACACACGGAGACAATTGCAAACTGATCAGTACAAAGAATTGGCTGTAACTAAAGTATGCCCGGTATAAATAATATACAGTATACAGTTCTAATCAGTAAAAAAATAGTCAATACAATTTTTTATTTATTTAATGATCACGCATTTTAGTATCAATGTGCAAACACATTTTTATTGAAGGGTCCTTACAATCATATGAATATGAGTTGAAACTTCTTAGATGTAGACTTATCACTGTACTGTGTATAAATCATCGCTATTTAAATGTAAAAATGTATTATAGTATTTTTAAATTGTTAATATGTATAATTTGTACAGTACTCGTGGAATACAGGAAGAACCATATTTTGTACATCCAAAAGTACATAGATATGGGTGTATTATTATGTCATAGGAAGACAAGAGAGCAGTGCTAAAACTTTATAGCCGCCATAAAAACAAATACGATTGTTCTTCTGCTCTGAATAAAATGTGTCCTGTGGAGAGCATTTCTGGTTTCTTTGATGCTTCAGCCTCATAAGAGATATTTTGTTCTTATTCATTCGTTCACGTTTTCGCATTTGGCTCATTTTTAAAATTGTTATGACACATAAATATAATTAAAATAGTTGTATTTTAGAAAAATTATCAAAACTATAATAGTTTTGATAACTTTTCTAAAACGCAAATATTTTAATATAAGTTACAAGCTTTGAAATAGAACAGTTAATTATTAATCTTATATTTTATACAGAGTTAATATAATAATAAAAAAACACACTCAGAACACTTTATAAGCGCTATTTATATAGCTTGGGCTTTCGTCGGATCTACATTTTAAGCATTTTTTACCAACTTTTTCGTTGTAGAAATACTGTAGCAAATATTCTAATGCCATACCGAGATAGCGACCCAACACTAATATAAATGCTGAAATGTTAAAATTAGACAATGTTCCTGTGTGACAGTAATCCAACAAATATGGAAAACATTTTTTCAATGTGTAAAATGTTTTGTAAGCAATACTAAAATTTCCTAATAGTGACCATTATTTACAGGTCCTAATCATGAGTGACTCCGATGATGATGACGCACATTTTTGTCTGCGCTGCAAAGGAACTTTTATCGGGCTCGACCAGTACATAGAACACCGCAAGACAAAGTGTAAGAGAGAAGACAGCCAACCCCTGACCAGTTTAGATCTGCATTACGGCAAAGATAATTCAGAAGGCGAGACTAGTTGTAAATTGGATGTGGTTTCAGAAAGTGGATCTTCCAATCGAGCTTCTTGGGCCTTAGACGGTATCCAAAACTCAAGCCCCTCTGTAAAAGATACGTCAAGATTAGATGATGTTTTGCAACCAGATATGTTGGAGATAAATCGCAAAGACGAAATTTTAGACCCCTTTCTTTCCTCGCCCTCGCATGATAATGAATCATTTCTCAAAGCAGTAGATTTCTTTTCCATCCTCGAACTTCAATGTAGCAAAACTACATTTCAAGACCTCAGTTCCTCTCAGAAGCCTCAGAGCGGAGTAGTGACACGAAGTAAAGCGTCCGCTGTTCTCCAAGCGAAAAGAAACAAGGACTATTACGCGTCAAAGTTGACTTCACAGGAGTATGACTATGACTACCCGAATGAACATAGCCAATATGTAGTAGGGAAAGATGTCATCATCACTGATAATTACGACTACAGGAAAGATATACGAGCTTCCCCAAAGGAGAGAAAACTGTCAGAAGCTGAATCTCCTAAATCAAGGTCTAGAACTGAATCGGGGCAGTTTCTATTTCAAGAAGTGCACAGCGAAGTAACAATAGCAGCGGATGAGAAAGACAAGGAGGTGTCTGGTAGTTCCAGTGAAGAATCAGATGAAGAGGATGACGAAGACGACGAGGATCTTGAATACGAGTCTCAAATGATAGCAACTGGTGGAAAGTGGAAGCCGGAAGGTCACGAATGGATGAGCCAACCTGCCTGGAACTCAGCTCCTCCTGTGGGCTTCACAGGGGGGAAGTGGAAGCCTTCGCCCCCGTCAACATCAACATCGACATCATCAGTTCTGACTCCTAGCGTGAATCTTACTTCGACGTTGATCTCTCAGCATGAAGAGACTCAGGTAAGTCACCTTATAACATGTATCGGATTATGAAGTGGTGTATAAATGACAAACATTATTCTCAAAATAAAAATTAGGCACATCATAGAACTTTAATACATTATTAATAAAGATTTTCTTGGCCTCTGACATAGATTTCTCTTTTAGCAATACTGTATGTATCAAAGCTTAATGCTATTTACAAATGCGTATGTCACGTAAAATATTATTATTTTTCAGGTAGTCGATGACTCCAAGTGCCAAGGTCCTCCCCCGGGCCATACCCGAGGTAAGTGGCTGCCCACCCTAGACTCTGCAGACAGGAGGTACTGGTGTGGACCTTGCAATAGAAGACTTTCGTCTCTAGCACTCTACGACAAGCATTGTCTATCTGACCTTCACCGCCGCCGCACCCGTCAGGAGAACATGCTCGAAGAGGACCTGTACATGGACCATCCGAGGCCTGAAGGAAAGCGGGAGGTGAAGAGGTCGAGGTTTCTCGACCCTGACCAAGGATGGACAGAGGGGCCCAGAAGAAAGAGAACAGTTCAGGTACGGAAAAAACGATAAATTAAAGTAACATATTATTAAATGGGTTGTCGGGAATTGATAAAATTTAGTTATTGCTAAGGAGCTTTTTGAAACATTTTGTTGTTATAGTCTAGGATTTTAATATAAGTGAATTTAGTTTTGATAGTACTTTCCTCAGAATATGAGTGTACGATGATCGTCCCCAGATGCAGAGTCCGGATGGCGTCCCTAACAAAGGGCGCGGAGGAGCCCTGCAATGTGCTCTTTGTCGATGCCAAGTGTTGCCTCAGCTCATGAGTAAACACCTCGTATCCTTCTACCACAGTAACAGAGTCCGCAGCGCCCCTGAAATAGCCGGCCGTCTCGCCATGGACCACATGGGAGACATCGTACGCCAGGCGCCCTTCCAGTGCGGCCCTTGCAGCTTCTACTGCAACACCATGCAGACATTCCTCTGGCACTGGGGCAGTAAGGCTCATCAACTGAAGGACACTCAGGCAAGGTTTACAGAGAGTTTTATAATTTACAATTTTTTTAACACAATTTACGAGCTAAGTCATAATATTACCCATGTTAACGCATTACCTACAATTGGTAGGATATTTTAATGTTTCAATATATGATTTAACAAATCTAGTCATAATCTTAACAATATATCTAAAAAACTTGTACTAGTACAAATAAATAAAGCTCAACTTCCGAAAATAGTAAAAAAAATTGTCAATACATTTCTTCGTGCACAACTAAATAGCACAATTGATTTCTTCTGTTCGTTATGCAAAACGCAAACCTTAGAGCAAAGACCTTATCACGTCACGACGGTGAAAGCCGAGAAGCTCCATGTTACTAGAGTAGTATATAAATACCCGCATCTTATCTCCTGTACTTTCTAGGAGCTACTTACTGCATCACATGCAACAGTCCGAGTGTCAACTGAAGTAGAACTACCTACATCCAAAAACCTAGATTTAAAACTTACAGTGTTATTTTGATAAAGCTTTATTTCGAACAACCAAATAATATCAGAGGCCTTTTAAACATTTGCTTATGACACTCAACAATGTATACTGTATACTGTACTGTATGCCTAACACTTGCACGAATGGTGTGTAGATCGAAGGCTACTACTGCTGCCCGATTTGCAGAGTGGAAGTCGTCAGCAGCGCACAGATGTATCAGCATTTGCTGAGCTCCAGACACAAAGAAAGCGTCGCCATAATCAACGGCTCAGTTCCCATCGTAATGCAGAAAAAGAGGATCATAGAAGTAAATATTTTTACTCATTACTTAGTCAGATTATGCTCATACCAATGTAACAAACAAAACAAAGCTCATGGTTTATCGTTTGTACGTAAATACAGATGGTACAAGATAAAGCTTCCTTAAGAAAAATAACATAAATTAATCAGAGTTCACGTGAACTGACCAGAATTAGTTAATTTCCGGAATTCCCATTCTTTATTTCCCTTGTAAATTATTTTTCTTGGCAGTTCTGACTGTAGCTCTTCAAATCTACTCTCTTGGGATTAGCAGTCACAGTCAGTCAGTCGTTGACTTTATGGTGAGCCTAGGATTACCTACCAACCTACATCAGTTCATCAGTTGACCTTGAGTCCCGGCCACTGGTCGTAAATTCAGGGGTCATATTTATACAATCTAACTTTACATAAACTAACCAACCTAACCAAACTTCTATAGGTGGATTAGTGCCAGATTTTGCCGGTTTTCCGTTTCCCGTTGACATTAGATATAACGTCATCGGCTTGCAATAAAATCATAATACACTTTCGTAGAAATGTGTATGTCCAACCCTGATAATATTTGTGAGAGAGTTCAGTTATCACTTACTTCCTGTGATAGAAATTAGGAAATTTATAATTATAACTGGTAAATAATATGAATATTCAACCATTCAGCTAGTTTTCTCAAAATGATTAAAATAGCAATATAAAAATTATTTGTGAACATTTGTTCAAAAGTTTGGTCAAGCGATGTGAGATTTTTCTTAAATTACTCGTATATTTGACGAACTGAATCCAAGCAACCGGATATATTGCAATTGTACTTGACATTGGTAGATATTCCAATTAACTCTACCTTGACGAAATCCGTTTCCAGTGTGACGTGTGCCACAAGCTGTTTGGTCTCAACATTAAACTCCGCCATCACAGCAAGTCCACTGGCCATCCTCAGACTAACAGTTCTGCTTCAGACAAACACCAGGAGAGAGAAGCGTGTCCCCAGTGTCCCATGGTGACATCCAGCAGACTGTCACTTCAGCGACATCTCGCGGCGGCGCACAAGGTACAACAAACCTCTGATAGAACACCCAAACCAAATGATTACGTCATCAGTTCACTTACAACTACTATTACAATAAAAATGCAAACAGTTGTTGAGTTATTTAGGTTTAGTACCAGGGGACCAAGCATTGCTCGGTTGTGGTTAATTGTTTTTAACTGTTAAAACAATATCGTAAACAGACTTTTTATAATTTACGAAAAACATTTTATTACCAACCATAGACATTTAATCGCTGAAATAATAACAAATCTTTAATGTAAAAGTATGCAATCAAACAAAATAAGATACACTTTAATGGTCTTGCTATGTATACTTTTAAAAGAGTACGTAACAATAAATTGTCAAATCTATCCCATTGACTTAGGCTTTCCCAGTGTAATTAAACGTCACCAGCTTGAAACTCTCATCAACACTTGCTTTATATTTTATTCGTTCACTACGCTCACTCACCTTTTGGTTGCAAATTAGCTGTTGTCATAATTTTTTTTAAAATAATAGTGCTGGACCCTGTTGGTAATCCTATTAACTTTCTAATGCAATTGAACATCACAGAATCAAATTGTTTAGTTGAACCAGCTGTAAAGATTCTTTAACTCCATTTAAATATAAGTACACCCATAAGGTTAACATGGGAACCTCCATAGCCAATGGGGCGGAGCCCTTTTGACGGATCTGTACCAAACTTCACACAAACCATCCTTGAATAATGAGAAAGTTTCATTACAATCTTTCGAGTGGTTTCGGAGTCCATAACGTTCAAATATATATATATATATATATATATATCCTACTAATATTATAAATGAGAAAGTTTGGACGTATGGATGTATGGATGTATGGATATATGTTTGTGACAAGTGAACGCAAAAAATACTGGTCGGATTGCGCTGAAATTTGGCATGATGATAGCTCACATTCCCGATTAACATATAGGCATATTCTTATTTCAAAAATCCTTTCGGGTTCCGCCCCAGTGGCTCTGGAGTTTCCCATGTTAACCTTATGAGAAATGGAATTATTGAATCTTAACAGCTGTTTCAATTAAACAAGTTGGTTCTGTTCTATGATGTTCAATAGCATTAAAGTTACAAGGATTACCAACAGGGTGAGCACTATTATTTCTTTTACATTTATGACAACAGCTAATTTGCAACCAAAAGGTGAGTGAGCGGAGCGAACGAACTTCAACCTGGAGGCGAGTTAGCGTAGCGAACGAGCTAACCTGGAGGCAAGTGAGCGCAGCGAACGAGCTCCAACCTAAAGGTGAGTGAGCGTAGCGAACGAGCTCCAACCTTAAGGTGAGTGAGCGTAGCGAACAACCTTCAACCAGGACGTGATTGAGCCATGCGAACGAGATAATCTTGAAAATTAACAAGTTATACGGGGCAAAGCCCGCGGGTTACAGCTAGTATATATATATATAAACAAACTTTCTCTTTTATAATTATAGATAACAATGCAAGATGTTAATTTACACCAAGTTAATGTTAAAATTAGTCGTTAAATTTAATCGTTACCTATCTTTTGATAAACGTCGGAAAATGTTTGATTAAATTATAATTTACATAGAGTAAATGTAATATTTTATATGATTTATTTTACTGATAATCCAAATTTCGCTGAAAATAAACTGCCTTAGTACTTCGGGGACAATGTTTTAGAGAGAGGACTAAGTAAAATAATCAGTATTTTTGATCGGAACAATTTTCCCGAGTAATATTCAGTGTAATCTTTGCTCAATAGTTACAACTGATGTTTACCTCTTTGTACTGTATTTTATAATTCCCTAGTATACTGTGGATGGCTTGTTATAAACACATGTGATATGTCTTTTGTTTACTTTTTTCTTGTTATCTTGTTCAACCAACATAGCTAACTTGGCAACCCATAACGCCAATGTTAAGCTTTAAAATTTTAAAATGAGTTGTGTAGCGAAATAGGAATTTTTCTTAGGTAGTGACTGTCACCAATCACGTTGTTAGGTCTATAAGTCCCTAATTCCAACATTTAGTCGAAATCCTTACGCGGGATTTCAAGATGTATCTTACAGACAAACAAACAGACATAGCTCGTATTAGAGTATATGATTTGTAGACGAATCAGGAAAAAGGACATCGTTGGTAGTGCAAAACGTGGTAGTATAAATACGTTTGTTTAAATATTACGTTTGCAGCTACTTCAATAAAACTCTTCAAAATGGTGGTTAAAGCACAAATATCTCAACCGAAAAATGTTCCTTCAGGATGCAGAGGGGCATTTCTTCTGCAGCGTATGCGATGTCAACTTCAAGACTGCAGCAGAAGCAAAAGCACACCGGTCTTCTACTGACCACAAAGACGTTATGTTGGCGAAGCAAGGGGACGCTGAGTTGGCTAAAGTCTGCTGCCACTGCTATGGTATTTTTGCCGGCATTAATGAGCTTAAAAAGCACTTGAAAGAAGAACATCCACAAATGGCGTACAGGTAAGTATTTTTTTCAATCTCTATGGACAGTATTATATATTTCTTACGACTTAGGTTAAAGACGATTTTGATGGTTGAGCAAAAATCAGGATTACAGATTCCCAAAATGGAGAATTACTCAGTGTGTATTCTGTTTGTGCAAATATGCACTATCTTCACATTTTTAATGGAATTTTTGGGATATATATTTCGTATGGTTAATTGGGTTTAACTTAATTCTCCATGTTAGGTGTATCAAATGTGGTGCCCGCTTCACTCTCAAGCAGGAGCTGGCCCGCCACGCTCATGTTGGATGTGGAGGATTTGTCTCTCCGACATCCCTCACTTCCCAAACTGCAGAAGCTGCTTCTGTATCTGCCTTCCAATGTACTAAATGTGGCTTCTCCTCCGACTCTGAGGCGGAATTCTTACTACATACTGCTCTTCACGAGGGCCCCGTCCAAGATGGAGACGTTCGGCGCTATAAGTGCCCTTTGTGCCCAAGGTTGTGCTCTAATTTCCATTTTTATCAAAGCTAATATATTTATTTTATCAACTTTTTCGTTTCCGTATACCGGGTGTCCAAAACCACCCGTACACCCCTTTCAAAACGTTAAAAACATTTTCTTACAAACAAAAAATAATACAGAACTAGCTAAATTGGGTACGGTCTACCAAATGGTGATAATTTAAAATCCAAAATCACACCGGAAGTGGCTTTTTCAGACCGGAAGTTGACTTTTTTAAATGTAAGTTACCAATTTTGATTACAGAATCGGATTCTACGTTGAAAAATACATAACTTTTGTTTAAATCATGTTTTGAAAAAAACTAGTGTTCTACCTCCAATCCCCTATCAAAGTTAACTAGGTGGCGTTCGCAGAGGCATCCACAAAATTGAGCGGAGTCATCAAGGGTTCATATTATATTGTTCTTGTCATACCGCAGTAAAAACAGACGTTTTTAATACATGCGTTGCGGCTCTAAAGTAGCATTTTTACTCTTTAGGGAGTAAAAATAGTTTTTAGCCTCTATGGAGTAAAAATCAGCTGTTGTCAACTCAGTTGTAAATTTCGATTGTATAAACGATTACATGTATCGAAAACGTGTATCGATTCGTGCTTCATAATCATTTTAACCTACAGTCTACAGTCTCTTCCCATAGCATTTTAGCATTGCAGATACATTAATCCATTCCCACACTCAACACTGCTCACCTTTACTACTTCCTTCACCACCCCCCAGGGTCGTGGACCTGTTTCCCTCTCTTCTCATAGCATTTTCGGATTGCAGATACATGTAATTGCCAAAGACAGTTCACACACTCTGCAATGCTAGCCTTTACCACTTCCTACACCGTTCTCACACTATCCTCGTACTTTAGTACATCCTAAGCCACTTCCTACGTCGTGGACCTGTATTCATCACTTTCCATAGCATTTTAGTATTTTAGATACATTAATGTAACTGATACAAACGGTTTCCAGTTCCCACACTCCACACTGCTCACCTTACTACTTCCTTTACCACTTCCTACGTCGCGGACCTGTTTTCTTCCCTTCAATTGTATTTTAGGATTGCAGATACCTTAATTTAATCAGGTTAAACAGTTCCCACACTCCAGACAGCTCACCTAGACTATATCCTTCACCACTTCCTATGTCACGGACCTGTTTCCCTCTCTTCCCATAGCATTTTAAGATTGTAGAGACCTTAGTCTAATCGTCATTAACAGTTGCCACACTCCGGACAGCTCGCCTGGACTACTTCCTTCACCACTTCCTACGTCGCGGACCTGTTTTCTTCCCTTCCAATAGTATTTTAGGATTTCAGATACCTTAATTTAATCGTCTTAAACAGTTCCCACACTCCGGACAGCTCGCCTTGACTACTTCCTTCACCACTTCCTTCATCGCGGAACCTGTTTCCTTCCCTTCCAATAGCATTTTGAGATTGCAGATACCTTAATCTAATCGTCATAAACAGTTCCTACACTCCGGACAGCTTGCCTTGACTACTTCCTTCACCACTTCCTACGTCGCGGACCCGTTATCGTCCTTTCCCATAGAATTTTAGGATTGCAGATACCTAAATCTAATCGTCATAAACAGTTTCCACACTCCGGACAGCTCGTCTTGACTACTTCCTTCACCACTTCCTACGTCGTGGACCCGTTTTCCTCCCTTCCCATAGAATTTTAGAATTGCAGATACCTAAATCTTATCGTCATAAACAGTTTCCACACTCCGGACAGCTCGCCTTGACAACTTCCTTCACCACTTCCTACTTCGCGGACCTGTTTTCCTCCCTTCCCATAAAATTTTAGGAATGCAGATACCTTAATTTAATCAGGTTAAACAGTTCCCACACTCCAGACTGCTCGCCTGGACTACTTCCTTCACCACTTCCTATGTCATGGACCTGTTCCCCTCTCTTCCCATAGCATTTTAAGATTGTAGAGACCTTAGTCTAATCGTCATTAACAGTTCCCACACTCCGGACAGCTCGCCTGGACTACTTCCTTCACCACTTCCTACGTCGCGGACCTGTTTTCTTCCCTTCCAATAGTATTTTAGGATTGCAGATACCTTAATTTAATCAGGTTAAACAGTTCCCACACTCCAGACAGCTCGCCTGGACTACTTCCTTCACCACTTCCTATGTCATGGACCTGTTCCCCTCTCTTCCCATAGCATTTTAAGATTGTAGAGACCTTAGTCTAATCGTCATTAACAGTTCCCACACTCCGGACAGATCGCCTGGACTACTTCCTTCACCACTTCCTACGTCGCGGACCTGTTTTCTTCCCTTCCAATAGTATTTTAGGATTGCAGATACCTTAATTTAATCAGGTTAAACAGTTCCCACACTCCAGACAGCTCGCCTGGACTACTTCCTTCACCACTTCCTATGTCATGGACCTGTTCCCCTCTCTTCCCATAGCATTTTAAGATTGTAGAGACCTTAGTCTAATCGTCATTAACAGTTCCCACACTCCGGACAGCTCGCCTGGACTACTTCCTTCACCACTTCCTACGTCTCGGACCTGTTTTCTTCCCTTCCAATAGTATTTTAGGATTTCAGATACCTTAATTTAATCGTCGTGAACAGTTCCCACACTCCGGACAGCTCGCCTTGACTACTTCCTTCACCACTTCCTTCATTGCGGACCTGTTTCCTTCCCTTCCAATAGCATTTTAGGATTGCAGATACCTTAATCTAATCGTCATAAACAGTTCCTACACTCCGGACAGCTTGCCTTGACTACTTCCTTCACCACTTCCTACGTCGCGGACCCGTTATCGTCCCTTCCCATAGAATTTTAGGATTGCAGATACCTAAATCTAATCGTCATAAACAGTTTCCACACTCCGGACAGCTCGCCTTGACTACTTCCTTCACCACTTCCTACGTCGTGGACCCGTTTTCCTCCCTTCCCATAGAATTTTAGAATTGCAGATACCTAAATCTAATCGTCATAAACAGTTTCCACACTCCGGACAGCTCGCCTTGACTACTTCCTTCACCACTTCCTACTTCGCGGACCTGTTTTCCTCCCTTCCCATAGAATTTTAGGAATGCAGATACTTAAATCTAATCGTCATATACAGTTTCCACATTTCGGACAGCTGCCTTGACTACTTTCTTAACCACTTCCTACGTCGCGGACCCGTTTTCCTCCCTTCCCGTAGAATTTTAGAAATGCAGATACCTTAATCTAATCGTCATAAACAGTTCCCACACTCTGGACAGCTCGCCTTGACTACTTCATTCACCAATTCCTACGTCGCGGACCAGTTTTCCTCCCTTCCCATAGAATTTTAGGAATGCAGATACTTAATTATAATTTCCATAATCAGTTTTCACACTCCAGACTGCTCACCTTCACCACTTCTTACGTCACGGACCTCAAGCTAGTGTCGTCATTTGGTTATATTTATGATCAATACCGTTTCTGTTCTAATATCTGTGGAATAATGCTATCAGCTATTTCTTTTCTACTGCATTCAAATGTCAACAGCTGATCATATGTCTTTGTTTATGTGTCAAATACTGCTTCCATAAGGATTACATTGAAACTTTGAGACCCAGTGGGGCGGATTCCTGAGAGACTTTTTTAACGCCATATAGATGTTGGCACTCACCGATATGGTCTTTATCACCACAAAAAATTTGAAAACGATTGATTCAGCCGTCTAAGAGGAGTTTGCGTATTACGAAATGCATAAGAGTCGACGTATAAGAGCTTCGCTCGCTTCGCTCGCTCCGCTCAATAATTTTTGGTCATTCATCTGCCAAAGTTGCTTGAAACAATAATAAAGAAAAACAAATAATAAAGATTACATAAACACATGTGATCAGCTGTTCATTGTAAACACTATAGTAATTGAGTAACAGCTGGTCTACACGTTGCTTAACATCACATCTATAATATTAAAACGAAACAGTGTTTTTTTTTATTCCACGATTCTGAATCAACCACTCGACGGATTTTCATGATTTTTGTGTTGAAAGAAAGATAATTTTGAGAACTAGGGAATGTCGAAGCCATAATTTTAGTTTAGGGTCCCAGTTTTTTAGAAATTAAGTTTTAATTTTTTAAAAGTCTAGCAGCCGACGCTAAGATTCTAAACTAGCTTTTGGCATAAAATAATTTGTTTAACATAACAGCTGTAAACATTCAGCTTTTGTTTCGCAAATTCAGAATTTTGATAAAAATGTAAAGACATACTTAGGGTTGACTCATTTATACTATGTGTAATGCCAATCATTGATAGGTTCAATTCTTCTGTAAGAGGATGACAGATTAATTAAATATCCATAGTAAAATACTAGGATGTTTATATCATTTTTAAAGCAATCTTTGTAATCTTCGATTTGTTTTAGAGCAATATAATTTGTTTTAACTAACAGCTGGTTAAATATAAACTATGGAACTATGAGGATATTTTATTTTGTCTTATTTTGTCATTGATTATAGGAAATAAGTAAGATTAGTAGAGATAATTAGACCACAGTTTTAACCAAAATTAATTAAACCACAGTACAAATCAAGGCTCTGTACACGAGTCTTAATTAAAAAAGGATAAATGCAAATTATTTTACTGCTCCACTTTTCAAGGAAAGATTATAAAAATAACAATGTTTACATGTTTTAATTCTTAATGGTAGCTTTTTGTTTACAATTAATGTTTGCCTGCTTTAACTTTGTTTGGATTAGGCCCGAAAATATTGATGTCATAAAAAGAAAATCAAGAATAATCAGGAATCACGATTTTAAATTACCACCACAACCTCAGCCGGGGTTTATACAAAGATAAACAGATGGATGACATAGATTGAACACAACGTCAACATTGACCTAGGATACTGCAATTAGACAAACCATCCTTTTATGAAATCGTGTTCAGTTGTGGTTACGTTTGGGGGCGCCTATATCAGCGCCCCCAAACGTGAAAATATCACTTTTATTTCAACTATGAATATATTGTAGTTTAAATTAACTAATATGGGAAATTACGATGTACATTTATTCTATGAGGGTGGGTAATTATCAAGGATAGAACTGATAACGGTATTGATAATAAACATTGACAATTACGTCATTAGCTTTACTAGCGTGTTTACTTTTTATATTCCTAGTACATGTGACCAGTTCTTTTTTTTCAAATGAATGTTATTTGAACCAAACAGCTGTTTCAAAACAAACTGTTATTGTTTTTACTTTCCGTTGTTTACACTAATTTATATAGCAATTAATGCAGTGAAATTGATATAAAGGATATCTGTGACGATTAGTTTTGATGTTAGGACACCAAAGTTAAATTATGTGTACTGTGAATTTTATTGGATATTATCGTTTTATTTTAGGTCGTTTCTATTCAGACCTACTGGAAATTGTGTATAGTAGTTGTATTTTGGTGATACTGTAATAATTATGAAAGAGGCAGGTATGCTATGGAAGGTGGTATCGTTGACTAGGTCTATACACTTCTCAATTGACTATTACTCTCTCTACCGTAGGCTACTTACTTATAATCAGTGTGCGATATAATGTCTGTGCGAATCGGCTGCAAATCTCACTTCAACGCTTTTCACATCGTAAAAATTGCAGAATTGCTGTTTTATTGTAAAATTATCGGATTTAAAATGCATATCGGCCTATGATGGAATACAAACATATTTGGTCACACAACATTTGTTTACAAGATGACTTTTTAAATTAAAACTGCAAGAAACTTTGCCGTTATTTGTGTTAACTAGCTGATCTGAATTGTACACGGTTTTAACTGACTACTGAATCCCGTACGTAGGACGGGCTAACACCTCGTTTTATAAAAAAAACATTTGTTTTTACATTTAAATGGTCAAATGTAAAAACAAATGAATTTAAAAAAAATTAAATTAAGCAATGTGTTGACCCACTATTACTCAATTACTAATGTGTTTACAATAAACAGCCAATTCTATTCAACATATGTCTTCATGTAATCTTTGTTATTTTTTTCTCTATTATTGTTTCGAGTAACTTTGACAGATGAATGACCAAAAATTATTGACTTTAATAGGGAATAAGAGGTAGGAAACTAGTTTTTTTTTTCAAAAAAAGTTTTATACAAAAGTTATGTATTTTTCAAAGTAGAATCCGATTCTGCAATCAAAATTGGTAGCTTACATTTAAAAAAGTCAACTTCCGGTCTGAAAAAGCCACTTCCGGCGTGATTTTGGATTTGAAGTTATCACTATTTGGTAGACCTGCCCAATTTAGCTAGTTCTGTATTATTTTTTGTTTGTAAGAAAATGTTTCCAACGTTTTGAAAGGGGTGTACGGGTGGTTTTGGACACCCGGTATATGCTTCACTCATACTCCGAATTCGGACAATGTCCAACATTTTTACCCACTTCGCGATGTGGACGGCGTGTAATACCCACGTCGCGGAGTGAGCATTTTATTCGGACATTGGCCGAAGCGAAATGCCCAGACCTTGTTGTGGGTAAACTGATTTACTCAAATGCCGAAGTTCAAACGTTCTTCGGCGATTGAGCAAATCCAAAATACCCACAACGCGGAGTGAAAAAATGTATTTGTCCACGTCGGGTTGTGGGTATTTCTATCATGCGCAAACGCCGAATTCTCGTTCTCACAGGACATCAATAATGAAGACCTAAATAGAGAGCAGTTAGCATACCTTTGAGCTTTAGGGTTGACCAATGTACAATGACGTCAAATAACGTATATTATACACAACCAAAACGCAAAAAATAAAAGAATTAAAAAACATTTGGCAAAAATGTAAAAATGTAAGTGTGTGAGTAGATTGGCTCTTGAATTTGCATTTTAGCGCATTAAAACGACCATGGCATCAGATTATCTTTAATAGTTCATCTTTTCAATGTATTACTTGTTGAAATCATGCTTTGTATGAGTTAATTAGTAGTATGTGATTTAACTTAAGAGTTGTAAAGAGTCAACTTGATTATTTCCAAGATAAATTGAATTGTCACATATCCTTGCAGGGTGTTTCTGAAGAGTTCGCTACGGAAGCATCTACACTCTCACACAGGCGAGCGTCCTTATTCTTGTTTACTGTGCAACGCAGAATTCTCAAGAAAGGATGTTCTGGAGAACCACGTGTTGGGCGTTCACTGCCTCAAAAGGTCCGGAGACTCCTGGCAGCCTCAGTCTGAGCGGAAGAAGACCTTCAGTTGTGACGTGTGCGGCGCTGCCTTCTATGACAAGTAAGTGTTATTTCTAGGATGTCCTGGAGAACTACGAGTTGAATGTTCACTGCCTTAAGAAGTACGGAGACTCCTGGCAACTTCAGTCTGAGCACAGAAAGACCTTCATTTGTGACGGTTACGGCGCTGCCTTCAATGAAAAGTAACTGGGCTTTGTTTGTATGTTAATCCTTCAATTTGGAAACTGCATGTGATATTACTTGTCTATATGTTATAGGTAAGCACGTTTTCTTAAACCTTTTTTTCTCAGATTGTGTGCATCGCAGGGAAAATCTATGCATACTGTTAGAAAGATATTTTCCTGTAGATGTGTATAATCCCTTTATAAATTAAAATGGGCTCAAAATAAGCACACAAAATAAATCTAAATTACAAAAAGTTTCCATGGACCTTATGGGTTGCCATCCTGGTGACGAAATATAAACAGAAAATCGATCGAACGAAATGGAAGAAATTCCAATCACATGTTTTATTACAGTGTGGGGGTGAAAATAGAGAAGCCAGTACATTACATATCTTTGGTCGAGTTTTCGACCACTGGACGACCTCTAGTATAACTTAATTTTATTAATTATTGTTCTTTGTACTATTGCATTTTATTTTGTATGGGAATGGACCAAACTCTAGTTTTGAATTTCCAAAATTTTGTTAGATGACATGATTGATTCATAGACCTACATCCAGGACCAGCATTGATCCCGCTTGGGACCAAACCAACAACGTTCGATTTAAAGGCGGGCACAATAACCACTCGGTTACCAACAAAATTACATTGGTCTTATAAATCGTTTCATAAATCCCTTCTTAGTTCCATAAAACTTTGTTAATCTTTAAGTTTGGATCTCTTTGGATGTCAAAGTAACAGTGTGTAACTTTGACAAGAAAGTGTTGCCAACTTATTTTCAAGCGTACACGTATTACGTGGCTAATAAAGCACACCTAAGCAACATAAGCCAAGCGGTGTTTTGTGTTGTCTGGTTGGAAAACTGGAATGCGGCAAAAAAATGAGTGTGGAAAAAATAAGTAAATGCAGCAATTTACTACTTTGCGTGCTATAATCAGTGAAAGGAAGCTCACTTTGTCAGGTAACTGTAGGAATAAATTGAACTTTCGTTACTCTCATTGAAAATAATCTTTATCCACGAAACTGGTGCGTAAAATGATTTACAGTTTGCCCTTTTCCTTACTGGATTTTTCTGGGTTAGAGAATACTTATTTGTAGAATTTAAAAAAATCTGAAAGCACTGAAGCGTTTTAACTACTTTAGACGTACCCTAAATCTACAGATTCCTGTTCCTAAAATAATTAATCCAAACTGAAGCTGCCTTTGCAGACCATCATTTGAACCTTCCCTTTAGCGAATTAAAAAAACCTTTAAACACCGTTGGACAAAGCGTGACACCTAAAGCTCACTAGAGGGCCGCTGCTGGACCTTGCTTTATTATATCAAGAGACATAATTCAGCGTGGGACGTCGGTTAACCAGGACTGTGACACCGGGCTTTACATTCGTGTGTTACGGATCCACTTTTCATCCCACAGTCAAAACAGCTGGGCTTGCGGCGGTTTTAGCTTATTGTTCCGCACCTCCGAGTTGACACACTTTGTTCTGAAGCACCAACTCTACTCACACTACTGTAAGTTATATCTACAATGGCCGCGAAAATACGAATTTACTTGAAATGTTTAAGTCTCTCCTTTTAGTTCTGATAAAGGGTTTAAATTCCCAACACTACCAAGTACAGTGTATAAGTGGCGCTGATTAATGTATAAAAGTTCTCTAACTGCATAATTTGATATTAAAAAGATAAACTTAAGAAATATGGACCTAGGCCTACTTAATTTTAAAACCCTACTTATATTTGAAGTCAATTGCTTCAAAATAATCAAATAACATACCGTAGATAAGCAATAAAATCAATCACTTAATAGTGATGTTTCATCAAACAAAGATGTTTACCCTAATTTTGCAATTCAAGCCAAGCATTCTTACCTGTAACTTTTTATATTAATTCCAAATTAGATTATGATCAAAATTATTCTACAAAAAAATTACCACCTTGCTTAATACAAACGTAACCCTTCCTATTAAATAACTAAGCCGGTTGCAAAATTTAAATAAAGCACCATCAAACCCAAATTTAATATACACTAAAGTTTTTAATACATACTATTTGCTGATTTATCTTTCATTTAAGTTACAAATTTCGTGGTGTTTGTCATTGATTATATCCACACATTAAAACATCTCATTACACATGAACTAAGAACAATAAAACTCAACATTTATTGTGCAAATGTATACTTTGGTTGATTTGTGAAATATAATAAGATGCGTATGCAGTAGAAATCAGTAAAACAGTGCTTTAATATTTTTGCTGATTTCAATTTCACAAAACATAAGGATATAACGTTAAAATCGTTTGTATTTATTACTTGACTACCTAGTTTCAGTAATATAATCCTTAAACCAATCAATGACTACTACCATGTTTCACAAGGCAAACGTTTTATACATTATTTAAGTAAATTAATTTTCTTGTGACAACAAAGAAAAAATATTCAACACAAACTGGTGATTGTGTCTACATGTCGCACGATTTCGATCATAATACCCTTGCTTCTTGGTGCTATTTAACAAATTCAATAACAAATAACGTAAAGATAAACATTTTTTCAGGTATTGAATAGTTTGCAATTTGTATATGTTCTACTACCTACTCTATTCGAATCGTTTAGCTAAAAAGCCTTTAAGAATTTAAAATTTATTGTAGACTTCCTAAAGAAAATCCCACATAGGAACTTTAAAAACAATTAAGCAAAACCTAGGAGTGGATTTTTAATATAATACCTAACAATTATTAGTAAAAAGTTATACAGACTGTCCCAAAAGTCCCGGACCGGTTTAATATTTTCTAAACGACAACAGATAAATCAATAAGATTTTGCACATCAACACCACACTTAAAAATCTACTTTTTTAAAGGACTATCAGTTTTCTGTCATATCATGGGGACGTCCCGCAAGGAGTCAGAAGGAAATCTTAGATAGAAGCATAGGTTGACATGCACATTAAATTAAAGACCTTTACTAGTAGATTACAATGCCGTAAATTCAAGCTCAAAAGAACGCCTGAGTAAAAAATGGCAGCCGTTCAAAGATTTCTTGAACCTGTCATTTTGAATCTTTGAACGACTGCCATTTTTTACTCAGGCGTTCTTTTGAGCTTGAATTTACGGCATTGTAATCTACTAGTGAAGACCTTTAATTTGATGTGCATATCGACCTATGCTTACGTTAAAATTTTCTTTCCGATTCCTAGGGCTGTGCCCCCAAATACAAATTAAATGAATCTTTGAACCACTGTCATTCTTGACTTGGTTGTCCATTTGAGTTCAAATTTGCGGCATTATATTCTGCTAGTAAAGACCTTTAATTTGATGTACATGTCAACCTATGCTTCTATTTAGTATTTCCTTCTGACTCCTTGCGGGACGTCCCCATGATGTGACAGAAAATTGATATTTCCTTAAAAAAGTAGATTTTTAGGTGTGGTGTTGATGTACCAAATCTCATTGATTTATCTGTTGTCGTTTAGAAAATATTAAACCGGTCCGGGACTTTTGGGACAGTCTGTATATATTTTAAAATACGAAAGTCAAACAAAATTGGGTGTGATGATTTTCGAAGGTGCAAGCTATTGCTGAAGCTTTGTAGACCCAACCCAAATTTAAACTCGTTTGTCAGTGGTCTGAAGATGTGTTCTCATCACACTTGCACTGCCTTACATAAGTTCTTCAAAGCAAACACTTGTGAACCAGGTATTTTTTACCTGAGAGGAAGTGAGGAAAATTAAATGTACTTGAAACATAACATAGCAAGTGGAAGGGCAAAGTACACACCTTTACAATGGACACAATAGCTAAGAAATATAGTTCTTACTAAGCCGTTTAAAAAATACAGTTTGGAAAAATGGCATAATTAATTTACTGGGATTATTTTCATGCCGTTATTTATGAAAACGGCTTATATTATGCATACTCATGCCATAAAACCGTCACCGGGAGGAAAACATTAGGCTGCTGATTTATGTTGTTTTCTGCTGGAAGAAACAAAAGGGAGCATTTGGACACTTATAAATCAGCGCCAGAATCCATCTTGACGTTCGTGAAGGTTGGGAAAACCGTTTTTTACCCGCTTATGAATTACATCGGACGTAATAGAAAAATGAGAACATTAAAATCCCTCTCTTATTTCGGGAGTAATTCAATGTCGTTGTTGAGGTGGACCTTGTTTTATTATAAGAGTAATATTTCAGCGGCCATTTTTTAGGTTAACCGAGCTCGCTGTCAACCGACAGTGTTTCATTGTTTGTGCCAAAAAACTTCCACTCCAACCCCTAGCTGTGGTCATCTTGTCAACCAGACCTATATACGCTATATACGCTCACTTTACAATCATGATACACTTACTATACACTCCAACTCCTAGCTGTGGTCATCTTGTCAACTAGACCTATATACGCTATATACGCTCACTTTACAATCATGATACACTTACTATACACTCCAACTCCTAGCTGTGGTCATCTTGACAACCAGACCTATATACGCTCACTTTACAATCATGATACACTTACTATACATTAGAAAATACTATACATACTACTACATACTATACATACTACATACTACTATACATTACTATACATAGAAAACATTATGCATATAGTGAAGAGTGTGGCTCGTGCGCTGAACTTCCAATTAGAAGATCATATGATTGATGCCGTTCATCGTCTTTCACCGAACCTCAATGACCCTGGGGTGCCGAGGGGGATTATAATCAAATTCTGCCGGCGCATCGACATGGAGATTATGAGGAGCAAGACCAGAGTGAAGAACGGTTTCTCAGCAGCAGAGCTAGGCTACAACAGCGAGAGCCAGGTGTACGTCAACCTGTCACTCACTAAGGAGACCATGGACCTCTGGAAGGCGACGCGCAAGTTTAAGGAAGACAAGGGCTACAAGTACGCTTGGATAACCAGTGTTGGGAAGGTGTTCCTACGACAAAAGGGGGACGCGGAAAGGTCGCCCCCGGAAACATCACCCCCCTACGTCATAATGACGTCAGAGACCGGGGGGTGATGTTTCCGGCCGCGGACACTCAATTTCAGTTGCAGCATGAACTCGTCGATATGATGAGTTATTTTTGAGTTTGCGTATTAATTAGATAATTATATTCACTTATCATATACGATTACCAGATTTTCTAATTACAATTGATGTTAACCGGATACGCTTACCCCGATCGTTTTCAAAATGCACACCCCGGAAAGGTCCCCCCCTGCCATGATCACCCCCGGTATACCTGCTGTAGGGCTTGGGCTCGTGACTCGAGCCAGCTATTGTTCACGAGGGTAGAGACTGTCCCATATTACCACCGCTCGACTGAACTCGCAAGAATGGGAAGGATTTGGTATTATTACGCAAATTTTGTGGATATTAAGATAAATACAAATTAACACTTTGATATTATGCTTTCTCTAGACATTCCCCCTTAACTCTATACATTAAATTATGTAAAAATTACAAATAGTTTTTTCCGTCAACGTATAAAATGTATTTGAAACACGTGGAAATGAAATAAAATATTTATAGTAATAGTACAAATTAAGTAAGGAATCAACTCGTATTAATATGAGCATGCTTCAACCACTCAACATTACACTCAACATAATACAGTACACACTTGACAAACATATTTTCACATTTCCTAGTTCTTAAATTGTAAACATTGATCAATAAATGCAGTATATGATATACATTTAAATAATTGTCTGGATTTTATGGTAAAATAAATGTATTGAGAATATTCCTGATTTGATATTGGTAAAGGACTCTTTCCCGTAAAAAGAATTTAGAAAGTAAATATTGGTTAGTTTCTTCGGCAATAAACAGGGAAAAGCTCACACTGTTTACGTTTGCGTTGACAGAGAAGCAAGCAACAGTGTCACATTCACTTTTTTCATGATTTCACATTGCTGATATTAAATAACTAAATTGACATTGAAGTAGTACAGTTATTCCATGAACGGTCACCCATTGTTTTGAAAGTTACACCTGTAGTTCGCAGAATATTAATACGTATAACTTAAAAGTTTGCAAGAGATCATAATCCTAAGTATGGTATCCACTATTCTCAGAGTATTGACTTATGGAATTCGTCTGTAATTTGCAGACTATTAATTCGTAGAGTACAACTGTATTTATAGCAGGAAGTATTTTTTGTAAAATAGTTTAGACTTCCCCACTTCAGGTATACCTCCCTTGGTAATGGTAAATTTCCTTGGGGGCTCTGCCCCAGTGGCCTTTAAATTCCCATCCTATGTTATTCTTATGGGGGGAAAACGGGTTTTTGTCACAGTTAATTTCAGAGGGAATTCTCCATGTTTCTCTTTTGATGGCTCATCTACAGACCGGGACCTTTCTTTAGACACCTCTACCGAGTTTCTACGCCCAGCCGTTCTCTCAAAATAGCTGTCACAAAGAAAAACAGTTCCAAATTAATATATAGATACTCATAAGGTTAACATGGTGAACAACAGAGTCACTGGGGCAGAGCCCGAAAGGATTTTTAAGATAAGAATATGCCTATATGTTAATCGGGAATGTGAGCTATCATCATGCCAAATTTCAGCCCAATCCGTCCAGTAGTTTATGCGTGATTGAACTTCAAACAAGCAAACAAACACAAAAACTTTCACATTTATAATATTAGTAAGATTATAGACAACCTAATGCGGCTATGAGTGGGGAAAATTTGTAAAAAACACTAAAAAACAAGGTCAGCTTTTGAAAAAAGATAAGATATTTACAAAAAATTTTGATTATATCTAACTGCTGTCTACATCTTGAGTATTTCCATAATCTTTGAGTCGACTCTTATAAAGTCATCGGAAATTATGACTCTTATTCGTTTTTAAAATAACGCCCGTAATGCTTCGCAATTGCTCGAATTCAAGCAACAGGTACACTTGTGTTAATGTAATTCGTAAAAAGTATACTCTGAAGTTGCACTAACAATAAACTCAGCTCAAAATTTGGTAGGGATTTTCCGAAGTGTTTTCTGCTACAACGTTTCACATTTTTATAATCCTAAAAATTTTGGTATATCGATATAGACTACACACATTCCACAAAAATGACATAACTTTCATGGCATAAACTTATAGGCCTACTTACACAGCTTTGATTTCAGACAAATCTTGATTTTACCCAAGGGTAGAAGTTTTAGAGATGTATAGTTCAAATCTACAGATTTCCTGAATACGAAGATCCATTACGGTAGGAAAAAACAACATTTAAAATTGAAACAGTATGCGGGCAAACACCGATGATAGTAACTGTAACATAAAAACGTCAATGACAGTTTGAACAGCTGTTAGTTACATCAACACTAAAACGACTTTAAATTATTAGCGTCGGCTGCTAGACTAAAAAAATTAAACTTAAAAGAAAAATGAAATCATGGCATTGACATTCCCTTCCTTTGAAAATTATATTTATTTCAACACAATTGGAGTATATACGAAGGTTATTATTGTTTAAACGATGTAATACAAGTTTACAGCTCATCATTTAACATTTTGATTACATACCTATTAAAAATTTTAACTCACGTATATATTCCCCGTAATTATGAAACATAATTTTGCAAACTTCAGTAGCAAAAAGGTTTTCTAAACATATACATCTTATAACAAAACTAATTTATTGGTATATCAACACTGATTGCAAGTCCTCTTCTCGATTTACTTTCATTATATTTTGACTCTATTCCAGTGATATGAATCTAGCCTAGGCTGTTTCTGAATTAAGGTACTTTTTGGCATAACCTTTAGAATAGTATCATTTACATATTTGCAATTACTAACAACTAATTATTTCGTTGAATTTGGGGGATTAATCCCCTAATAGATATTATTATGTTTATTCTTATTTAATAATCGGTTTCTAATTTTCAAATTATTAATTAAATTGGGGCCAAACCTAAAGCAATGCGATTCATTTTTAATACATTTAGCAACTATTCTATTTTTAACAAATGTGTTGCTTAACAATTACCTTACTTAGGGTGTAAGGTAAGTTTACTGATGTTGATAAGTATAACTACTATTTAATGCAACAGAAAAAATGTATACTTTACGCATTATCGTTGGTAGTTTTTTTATGAATTAAGTCTAAAAGAATCTTTTTAAAGTCAATCTTTGCTCGTATTATTTAGTTGTCTTAGAAGTTCATACACAACTAAATCTACTGATTGATATTCCACCACAGGGTCTGCAATTTTCTTCTGCAAAAATGCTGTTGTCCAAGCGACAATAATAATGAACGAGCGGCCGACCCTCAGAACAATGGGCTGGGGAGGACGGGCAGCAGGTAGGCTGCCGAGCAGCCCAGCCCTGCTAGGGGTAGGGTTTCAGGGGGGGACGATTCCGGGGTGTACATCGGGGATGCCTTGCCGGGGTAGACCTTTCCGTTGGTACTTGTTTGAATTAAAATTAATAACATAATTAGTTCGTATCAACTAGACTTTGATAAATTACTTGTCGAGCCCTTGGGGGGGTATGATTCCGGTCGCGGACATAGATTTTATACCAGCTGGTTGTCTGGTTTCGTGACGTCACGTTTAGCCTGGGGGGTGATGTTTCCGGGGGCGACCATTCCGGCGACCCGACAAAAGGATGGTGCGAGACCGGTCCACATCACTGAAAAGGCCGACCTTGACCTGTTAAAATAAACCTCAAGTATGTTCCTATTTATGTATTTAAATCTAATATAAATTTAAGCATGATATATATTTATTCATTTTGCATGTTTTCTTTTGTTTAGTCTGCATGTGTATTATAAAAAAAAAAAAGGAAAACAATAAGGTTGTAATTTATTATCAGAATGTTAGAGGTTTAAGGTCCAAATTAAATACTTTCCGTTTAAATTTATTAGAGAACTGTTATCCAATAGTAGCACTCACTGAAACTTGGCTTACACATTCAATAAGCAGTTCTGAACTTTTTCCAGACAATTATACTGTATTGAGACGTGATAGAGATGTAATGCTTACAGGGAAGAGTAGGGGTGGTGGGGTTCTGTTAGCAGTAGATGAATCTATTAATATCCAGAGATTAGTTGAATTAGAAACGGATGGAGATAATATTTGGGCTAGTTTAAAATTTACTAAAACTTTTTCTGTGATATTAGCTGTAGTTTATTTTCCACCAAACTCGCATGTTAGTTCTTACAAATCATTTTTTGATAAGTTGGATTTATTTGTACGTAGACAAGAACATATAATAGTAATAGGAGATTTTAATCAGCATATTGTAGGGTCTGGATATGATTTATCTAAGGGAAATGAGACTTGCAAACAATTAATGTATTATTGTAGTTTACATAATTTGGTGTCAAAAAATAATATATTAAATGTAACTGGTAGGACTTTAGATCTAGTTTTAAG